TAAAAATGCCGACGTTTTTCCGGTTTTTTAATTTTCGATCTGGCGACTCTGCGCCCCACTCTCTTACAAAATGATTCTACTATGCTAAGACAACGAAAATGTCTATGTATTTATTTAACATTTTTTCCCATCGGTGTGTGAACAGAGACCTTGTGTGAGAGGGCGCTGTCCACTCATACCCTCCTTAGATACGCCACTACAAATATTGTTATAAAAAATTTGCTTTTTTTAAAAATTACCGGTGAGTGGGCGAACAGGCTCGGTGAGTGGGCTGAGCCCACTCATGCCCTACCTTGGTTACGCCACTAATATATACTAAATGTTCGAAAAAACTATTGTTAGTGTTGTCTTAGTATGCTGATTATTACACTGGAATGAAAACATAACTCTTTCATGCATCTCAAATAAAAATTTCCAATTCGCTGAGTTACTTAATATAAATATTAGTATTTTCTTGAGCAAATATTTTGACGTAGAATAATTCTTTCTCAAAGAAATCACACGTTGAAATGACCTAGCTATTTATCTCATGGAGGAACAGAACAAATTCTATTTTTTTTTGAGATCATATTTTCAGCATATGTAGAGAACTTCTTGATTAGAACAATCCCATAAATTTTCTTTACAGAGTTACGACTAGAGTTCATCAAATTGACGGTGACTCTGAGACTGATCCAATGAGTTATTAACAGCCAATTATTACTTGATTTTTATTCATAAAAAAATATCTTATATCTCCAGAGCAACTCTATTAGACGCATGTCAAATAGTTTCATTTGAAATTAGGAATATAGATCAATTCGGATCCAAAAATGTAGGACCTAAGGAGCTTCAGTTCTAAGATTTTTTGACTTATAATCTCATGTATTGATAGATTACGAGGTCTTAAGAATATTCTAAAAGTTTCATTCCAGACAATAGGATTTCTTCTTGAAATATTCAAGTATTTAAAATCGGATTAGATTGTAGTAGCGGTTAGAAAAATAAAGGCATTATTGAATGCTGAATATTTCAGAAAGACATTAATTGTTTGAATTCAAGTAATAGGAAACAAAAATCATTTAATTGAATTTTAACTACTTTTGTTATAATCATTTCTACTAGAAATATTATTGATTTTACTCAGACTTTTGCAGATATATTAAAAGATTTGAAATGAATGATTGTTTATATATAATAGAAGCTACTAGATTAAGTGTTCACTTTAATATGAGTAAAATGCAAACAGCATATTGACGAAAACATAACATTTGTACTAAATCACTCTCAGAAATTGAAAACACTTTATATTAGAAGTTTCAAAGCTTCTCTTATCTCTAAATAATTTCAATTTTTCGAGCAAAGTTTCGCACATACTATTAAATACGCTTTTGATCAACCGCTGTCTATCTATAGAAATTATTTTCAGTTTCCATCAACGCCTGAAATCATGGTCACTATGTACTGTATAGTGGCCATTTTGTCTGGAAATAGATATTTGAACATGATCATATATTAACAAAAAATCATATTTGTTCTGCTCATAATATCACGATATGATGTTGTGAGCCTTCTCTTCGGTAACATTCACATCTGAGTCGCACTAGTAGGCCTCTCCTTCCTCACAAAAATGAAAATTGCACTTTTTTAAGATTTAAATATGAGGAAATACTTCAAAATATAATCTATCTAATGGTACAAATAAGTTTTTTACAACTCTCAAAAAAAAAAGCTGAAAAAAATCAATTGCCCAAAATATCTTTGAATTACTATGTTTAACTTCTGCGGAAAAAAAATATTGTTATTTTTGTTTTTGAATTCTTTTCTGCGTCATATTCAATCAATTCTAAGCAACGTTCTAATATATGATTCTTTATCTATTCATAGGTATTACACGAAAAATATGTTTGTTCTATTCTTCATCAAGCATGTGCTATACTTAAAACTTTACCAAATTATAATCGTATCGATTTATCGACTTTACGTCATATATTCATTATTGGTGATCTTCATGGGCAATTAGCTGATTTATTACATATATTTAATGCGGTAAATGAAATATTCATAAAAATTTTTGTTTTTTTGTTCTTCATTTGAATTATTTATAGAATGGACTACCTGCCATTGATAATCCATATATATTTAATGGAGATTTTGTTGATCGAGGCCGAAATTCAGTTGAAGTTATTCTCTTACTTATGGTTGCATTGATTCTCTATCCAAGTTCAGTCTTTCTTAATCGGGGTAATTATTTTTCTTTTTGTGTACTCAAAAAGTGAGTACACTCTAGAATCGGTCAGTATGTCCGTCCGGCCGTTAACACGATAACTTTTGAAAGGAGAGTCCAATCGCGATGAAATTTTCTACACAGTTCAGTCTTAACAATGTCTCGGTCGAGTTCGAAGATGAGAAGAATTGGCTCAACCATTCCTGAGTTATTGCAAAAATACTCATTTTTTCTTATGGCTTCCTATGCGAAAATCGACCAATCCCCGCTTTCGTAAAAAACTTTTCCTATCATACCCAAATAAAACCCCAACTATTATATACCATTCGATAGAGAATTTCACGAGCTACAAAATGGTATATGATATATAAAGAAATTAGAAGGTTAAGTCACCTATATGGCAGACATAATTATGCAGGAAGCAA